GGTGGTGGCAGTTGGGCTCTGAGGGTTTTTTCCTGAGGAGCTGTTTTGTTTGGCGTTTGTAGTTCTAAAAATAAAGTTAGTTTCTTTTGACAAGTGGCTCCTAAATTGTGCCCAGACAGACTGCAGCCATGTATGTTTGAGCATATTAATTATTCAATCAACTTTGTCTTTGTGGAGACATCTCTCATGGATTCTGCTTTCTCCTGGTCTTCTGTGCACCTGGCATCCTGGAATCTCTCCCTACTACAATTCTAGTATTTCTCTTTGTCTCTATTGTGTCAAATCCTTTACATTCCAAATTCTATGCCTTTTTAATTATTTGGTTTACTTACCCCTTTGGGTGGAGAATGTCTGTCAGCAGTTTCCTTAGAAGGGGTTTATTTTCCTAAAATTATGCATATTGAAACATTATTATATTACCCTCACACTTTATTGTTAACATGGCTGAGGATAAAATTCCAGATATAAATGCATTTTCTTTCAGAATTTTAAAGGCTTTACTTTATTGTTTTCCAGACTCATGATGCTATTGAGAAGTTTGAAATCATTGTGCTTCATGATACATTGTATGGAACCTTTATTTTTTTTCCCCCTATCCAGAAGTCTCCAGTATCTTCTCTTTGTCCCATTGTTCTGAAATGTCACCATGATGAGCTATGGTCTGGGGCTAGTCTCACATATTATGAGGGGCACTCTCATTTCCAGGGTGGTTTCTTGGTTTATGTTCTTGACAATTCCTTTCCCACTGTTTTTTTCTTTTCTTTTCTGCTGGAATGACATTTTCTGGCTGATAAATAATCCTAGCCTAATCTTCTAAATTTCTCATCTTTTCATCTCTATTTTTATCTGTTTATTTTTCTCATTCTCCTTTGAGGAAAATTTATCAGTTTATTTTCCATCTTTTCTATTGAATCATAAATTTTTGCTATTGCAAGTTTAATTTTTTTAGAACTCACTTTCTTTCCCCTAAGACTCTTCCTTTTCTACAGTATCCTGTCCTTATTTAAAGATGTTCAATGTCATTGCTCAGAGGATGTTACTGGTGGATTTTTTTGAAGTTTAATGTCTCTTTTCCATAGCTGATGCTGTTGTTTGTAAATTATGCCTTAGTAGAATTCTAGACGAATAAAAGGGAAAGTAGAGCATTGTAAAATGGATGGGAAGTTTTGAGGCTGTAAGCAGGTTTGTCAACTCTAGTCAGCTCCTGGATGGCTTTATTGGGGCAAGGGCAATGTCAAAATTGAAGGCTTTTCTCTTGGGCTGGAGAGTCCTCTGAGATCAATCTTCCCATCTCCTGCCTGGAGAGAAAGAAAAAAAAAAAACTTGTTGACAGCCTACTGGGAGCTGAGGGGGAAAGGGGGTAATTGTTTGAACATTCATTGTTTACACATTATTTACACTGTCATTTCAGCTCATTATCAAGAAGATATGCTCAATCTCTTGTTGCCTGGGTTCCCAAAAGCGGAGACACATCTTTTACAACTGTATCACTTTGCCAGGAATTAATTTCTAATCTCCAGTCAGAGTGGGTGGGAGACTTCAGCTCATTTTAGCAAAGTAGAGAGAAGATGGTTTGGGGAGGGGTCAGTTCACTGCATTTTTTTTTTCTTTTTTCCAGTACTGGGCCACAACCCAGCCCTTTTTATTTTTATTTTGAGAGAGGGTCTCACTAAGTTCCTCAGGTCCTTGCTAAGTTGCTGAAGCTGGTTTTGAACTTGATCCTCATGCCTCAGCCTCCAAAGCCCTTAGGATTACAAGCATGCTCCACTGTGATGAGACAGCTCACCACATTTTAAATAAACTTTTAACCAATCTTCCTGTCTGCAGCCCACTTTGATCCCCAATTCCTGAGCTTTGAAGACTTCCATGGCACAGATTGGGTGCTTGTGAGTCTCTCAAACACCAGTTAAAGATTCATTCTTCCTTGTTCTGCTGAGCAATTTGCCATGCTTTTTTCCCTCTGCTTTGACTCTCAAACTTTTTTTTTTTTTTTTTTGGTATTGGGGATTGAACTCGGGGACACTCAGCCACTGAGCCATATCCTCAGCCCTATTTTGTTGTTTGTTTAGGGTCTCACTAAGTTGCTTAGCACCTCACTATTGCTGAGGCTGGCTTTGATCTCATGATCCTCCAGTCTCAGCCTCCAGAGCCACTGGGATTACAGGTGTGTGCACTGCACCTTGCTCTCTTTCAAACTTTTGCTACTGATGGGGCTCAAAAATTGGATATCTATATGTAGAAATGTAAATTAGATCCCTATCTCTAACCTTGAATAAAAGTCTACTCAAAACAGATAAAAAATTGGGCATGATGGCTCATGCCTGTAATTCTAGTAACTTGGGAGGCTGAGGTGGGAAGATCACAAGTCAAGGCCAGCCTTAGCGACTTAGTGAGACCCTGAGACCGTGTCTCAAAAAGAAAAAAAAAAGTTCTGCATGTGGAGATTAGTGGTATGATGCACAGAGTTCAATTCTCAGTGCTAAAAAAAGAAAAGAAAAAAAAAATAAAGGCCCAGTACTTAAACCAGAAACTATGCGACTTCTAGAAGAAAACATCATCAATGCACCAAGACATAAGTGAAGGAAATGACTTCCTCGATAAGATTACTAAGCCTCAGGAAATAATACCAACAATCAATATGTGAGCTGTTATCAAATTAAAAAGCTTCCACACAGCAAAGAAAACAATTAAGAACATGACTAAGAGAAAGGGGAGAAAATCTATGCCAGTTACTCTTTCAACAGGAGGTTAGTATCCATAATATATAAAGAACTAAAAAAAACTTAACACCAACAAAATTATTAAACAATAAATGGGCAAATGAACTAAACAGAAACTACCAAAAATAAGAAATATCAAAAAAAAAACTACCAAAAATAAGGTATAGTTTAGTTATGAGGTTCCCCCAAAAGCATATGTGAGAATGCGAAAATATTTAGAGGTGAAATGATTAGATTATGAGTTTTAACCTGATTTGTGGATTAATCCACTGCTATGGATTAACTAGGTGGTAACTGTAGGCAGGTAGGGTGTGACTGGAGACAGTAGGTCACTTGGGTGACGTGTCTTTGGGATTTATATTTTGTCCTTGCTGGGCTATCAAGTCCGTTCTGAAGAAAAATACAGGTTACCTTGGGTCTTATAATCCTTTCCTTCTTCCTAATTGTGTCATTTTTATCTTCATCCCCTTTTTTAATCAATTAACAAGTACCCATGGAGTGTCTCAGTAGGAAGCTGTTGAGGGGATTCAAAGGATGGAAAGGGCAGTCTCTGCACTGGAGAAATCATCGTCCTCAGAGACGAGCAAAATGCCAGGTGTTAGCCATGTTGTAGTGAGGTCCACATCCCTTATCCCATCAAAATACAGGGCATTCAAGTCCCATCACGGATGGTATATTCATGTTCCATTCAAACATAGTATTTGCTCGTTTGTTTAATAAAATCTAGCTAGCTATTTTTCTGTGCAGCACTCCACTTATTCTGGTTGACCTAGTCAGAACTTGGGGTTTCTGTGAGAGGCGTTCCCTTTTTACAGATTATTCTCTAGAAGTAAGCTCTTAACTCCAATATTTTTGGGCATCTCCTCCTTATCATATGACCCTTTCTCTCTACTTTTATTTCCTTTTTGCTTCCAATGTTCCATTGCAGCATAAAGAGGATGATCTTCCACTTATTCTCTTTGATGTGAACTTCCTTAGAAATTCATATTCCTTTGGTGAAAGAAGGACATCTTGCTCTCTTACCAGGGGCCAGAGTGGTATGCCACAGGCAAGGAGAAAGCCCAGTTTCTTGGAAATACAAAAAGTCCTATCCCTCTAATCTTCCCAATCGACCCAAGTATCTTGGAGAAATCCACAGGGTGCTAAGAGAGAGAACCAGTAAGGACATGCATTCAGGGGAGTGATTGGAGAATTCCTTTCTGAAATGATATTTGCTGATCCTGAAGGATGACAATAAGCCAACTTTTATGGTTTAGATATGAGGTGTCCCTCAAATGCTCATGTGAGAGACTATGCAGAGGGCTGGGGTACAGCTCAGTTGGTAGAGTGTTTAGAGTGCTTGCCTTGCATGCACAAGGCCCTGGGTTCAATCCCCATTATATATATATGGAGAGAGAGAGAGAGAGAGAGAGAGAGAGAGAGAGAGAGAGAGAGAGAGTTTAGAGGTGGCAAAATTGAATTATGAGAGAACCTAATCACTGTATTGATATATTTGATGGATCTAATAGATCTAAGACTACTGTACTGGGTGATAACTGTATCAGGTAAGGTGCTTCTGGGGGAAGTGGGTCAGTGAGATCATGCCCTTGGGGATTAAAACTTGTCCCTGACTCCTTGTGTGCATTTTCTCTCTCTTCCTCCCTCTCCCCCCACCTCCCCTCTCTCTCTCCTCCCCACGTGCCATGAGCTGAGAAGCTTTCCTCTGCAGGCCCTTCTGCCATGATGTTCTGCTCCACCTCAGGTCCAGACCAATGGAGTTGACCAACCAGGGACCCAATCTCTGAAACTGTGAGCCAAAATAAACTTTTCCTCCTCTAAGTTGTCCTTGTTGAATATTTTGGTCACAGCAACACAAAGCTTGCACACTGACCATGTAAAATGATGAGATTTACAGGTAGATAGAACCATATATGAGTGTCAAAAGCAGCACAGGTGATGTTGTCCATTAGAGAAAACGCATAGGTGGGATTTGGGTCCATTGGGCAATACTAGAGGTCAGTTTACTCAACACCCAGTCATAACCACGTTCTCCCTAGCTTTCCTCCACTGAAGAGCCTGGAAAATGAAGAACTGAAATTCTCAACATCCACTGAAGTGAAGCCTGGTCATATGGCATCATTTTGGCTAAAGAGCTGTAGAAGAAATCATTTAGGAAGACTTCAATTACAAAATAAAAGCCAAAGTCCTCAAGAAGTCATCTTGTCCCTTGCTGTGCTTAGTCAGCATTCAGTTGCTGTGACAAAATAACTGAGAAAAATCAATTATTTTTTGAGAAAAATAAATTTCATGGAGGAAACGTTTATTCTGGCTTACAGTTTCAGAGGTATCAGGCCATAGTCACTTTGCCTAACTGCCTTTAGGTTTGTAGAGAGGCAGAAACCATGAAAGTGTGTGGTGGAGGAGAGCTGCTTGCCTCAGGATGATGAAGAAGCAAAGAGAGAAAGAGAAAGAGAAGAGGGTCAGGGTCCTAATATCCCCTTCAAAGGCACATTCCCAATAATGTTCTTCCTTCCACTGGGCCCCACCTCCTGATGTACCCACCACTAGCACCACAGGCTGGCTACCAAGCCTTGAGCACATGAGACTGTAGGGGACACTCCAGATCCAAATTGTCACACTGGTCTTTCCTCTTTCTGCCTGGGATGAAGAAGGAGGCACAGTCTGCAAACCCTGAGAATGAAGTGGACATGTAGGAAATGACAGAGTGGAAGATGGAAGGAACCTGGCTCCTCAGTGGCATCCTGATAGAGCTGTACCACCTGCACAATTTTGTTTTAAACAGGAGAAACTAAAATCCATTTATTTACTTAAATAATGGCAGCAAATGGTTTAAATACTTTCTGAGCAGTCTACATGCATTCATAGTTAATCTACACAGGAACTTGGAGAAGTGAGTACCATGTGGTCCTGCTGTGGTTATCCTAATGTTTGAAAAGAAGTTGAGGCATGAAAAGGTTGAATAGTTTATTCAGGTCCCTCACTGGTAAGTGGAGAAGCTGAACTTTAAACACTGGTAGGTACTAGCAGATCCTATGGCCTTAATCTTGGTTCTCCATGCCAGTGTTGGCTGGGTTCTGTTACCTGCCTGTGTAAGTCAGACTTTTCACCACTGTAACCAAAATACCTGACAAGAACAATTTTGTAGGAGGAAACGTTTATTGGGGGCTCACAGTTTTAGAGGTCTCAGTCCTAGATGTCTGACTCCATTGCTCTGCGCCCAAGATGAGGTAGAACATCATGGTGGAAAGGTGTGGGGGACGAAAGCGGCTCAGATCGGGGCCACTAGAAAACAAAGAGAGAGAGAGACAGGGCTCTGCTCACCTGGGACAAAACATATACCCGAAAGGCACACACCCAGTGACATACCTCTTCCAGCCACACCCTACCTGACGACAGTTGCCACCAGTTAATCCTTTCAAGAGGATTAGGTTAAGGTTATCATAACTGGATCATTTCACCTCAAAATTTTCTTACATTGTCATATACATGAGCTTTTGGGGGATACTTCATATCTAAACGACAACACTGCCATTGCTCACAATCCTAACATATCCTTGATGGGTGGATACGAATTATACGAGAGCTTTGGGGTCACTACATGAAGATCAGTGTAGTATTCGGCCAGAGGATGGCAACTTAGGCAACAATTTGAGGAATAATTTATGGTAGGAAAAGAGACCAAGGTGAAGATGGAAAGTACAGCAGAGGGGGTTAAGAAAGGGAGCTCAGGAGAAAGAATATTTGCCTACCAATCACAGCCCTACCAGTTATTGCTCGCTTAGTGACTGTGGCCTAATAACACTGCATTATCTCTGTGGCTCTAGGGTTAAACATGTTTTCTCAACTCTAAAATGAGCAAAATCACCACACATGTCCTTTAGAGTTTCAATGCCCTAGAAAAATCTTCTGTTCATAACAAGAATTCAGTAAATGATAGCTTAAAAAACATTTTACATAAGTTTGATCGTTTTCCTCTGTGCCTGTCTCATATTGAAAATAATGCCTCTCTAGAAATGGTTAATTCAAACTGCAACATTGAGGAACTTTAAAATATCAAAAAAGAAGAGAAAATGAAGATGATTTTGACTTTGATGTTAGCATTTTTAACTTTTTTTTTCATATTCTACTAGAAATCCAGACTTATTATAGATCACTAGATTTAGGACACATTGTTGCAATAATTTGATCTGAATAAGAATGACATTATTAGCACAACTTTCTTAATAGTATTAGTCAAACCGAGCTTAAGGAACATACCTATCAACTTCAAAGGATTTGTTTTAAAAGAAAGTGAAATCAAAGGAAATAAGGTTGTAGCTCAGTGGTGGAGCGCTTGCCCAGCATGTGTGAGGCACTGGGTTCAATTCTCAGCACCACATATAAATAAAAATATAGTTATATCAACAACTAAAAAAAAATTTTAAAAAAAGAATCCATGGGAGCATGATAGAGAACCACAATTTCCATCCTGAATTCTGAAAAATCTGACTAACCTCCAAACTGGATTCTGGGAAAAACAGTTGTCTCATGCAAAAGCACAAGAACTAATATAAAATCTTAGTTCAAAGCCTCTGGGCAAAACGAGGGACACAAAGACAGACACTCTCTCCTTTAATGAGCCCCCATGTGGAAAGTCACTGCTGCATGGTGAGCTGGTGTCTGTGCCTTTGAACTTCCTGTGATTAAACAGTGAAGGGTCATTTCTCACTCTTGGAATGCACCAGCAGTTCTTGAAAAACTTCCCAGCTCCAAAAAGTTTGCAGAAATCGTTTTCTTCTAGGACTTCTGGGTGTTTTAACAAAAGATATAGAGTGACTGTACAATGATAGCTCGAGGGCTCTAATCAAATCTTTGTAAACCAGATTTTTTTCCAGATTTTTCATTATCTATTTCCATATATGATTAACTAGACTGAAAACTACTGTCGCTATGACTGTGTGCAGGTGGGTACAGTGTTCATGTTGTTGCCTCTGCTGCTGGTTGGTCATGTAGATGTGACCTGCTTCTGGGCAGGAAACAGCCTGGCCTGGTCTCTCTTGCTCCAGGGGGACAGGCAGACAGGCTATTCTGGTCAGAAGTGTGCTTTTGTGCAGGCAGTTGTTTCCCCTAGTCCAGGATGCAGGAGCAACAGGAAGGAAAGGGTACAGTGTGACCTGTTTTCACATAAGGACATAAGGCCCCTGGGCATCAGGGCAGCCCAATGTTTTGCCTGCACACAGAGCAGGAAGTCACTCGGGGACCCCAGTCATTCTCTCAAGAGCACACAGACCAGCCTTCAGAGGGAGTCAGGTGGGGCCAGCAACTCTCCAGTTCTTCTGTAAAGTACTGTTCCTAGGAACACAGGCTTGGACAGAGCGGCAACCATGTAGGATTCTCCTGCTGCTGACTCTATGACTACGTAGGACATTTTTAAAGAATATCAACCTACCCAACTATTATACCTAAAAATGCAAAGAGAGGAAAGTTCCAATCAGAAAAAAAAGATTTTTATTAAAATATGACCCACTTGCAAATTGTGAATTTTTCAGTGTCATCTGGTAAAATTAAATAGAAGAGCTTGTGTAGTCTGTTCTGTGTTATAACAAATATCTGAGATCAGGTACTTTAAAAAGATAATGGGTTCATTTAGTTTGTAATTTCAGAGGTCCAAGAGCATGGCGCTGCCATTGGCTTCTCATGAGGGCCTCATGGAGAATATCACATGGAAGGAGTGTGAGAATGAGAGATCACGTGGTAAACAGAGGAAGCAAGAGCCTGGGGCAGCCCAGTTCACTCTCTCATAATAATATACTCTGGCAGAAACTAATCCACTCCTGGAGACCAGCATGAATCCTTTCTTGTGAATAGACATAATCCAAGTTCCTCCCATGAGGCCCCACCTCTTAAAGGTGTCACTACCTTTTCATACTGTTAAATTGGGGACCAAACTTCCAGCACATGCTGAGCTACATCATATATCCTGTCATATAATGATCTATAATAAACAATGTATATATCACTAATGATGAGCCAGGAACTGTTCTAAGCACTTTATGTTATTATGTCATTCAATCCTCATGGATCTGTGAAACAGGTACAATTATTATCTTCATTTGACAGATAAGGAAACTGAAACACCTAGAAGTGAATTGCTCAAGGCTACGCAGTCTAACAGTATGAGGGTTAACATTTCTAAAAAGTATAGCAAGGTGCAGTGATGCACACTTGTGATCCCAGCTACTCAGGAGACTGAGGGAGGAGCATTGTTAAGTTTGAGGTCGGTCTGGGAGAGACCATGTCTCAAAATAAAAGTAAAAATAGGAATGGGGATTGTAGCTCAGTAATAGAGCACTTGAGTGTGAAGTTTTGAGTCCAATCTCCACTATTACAAAAAGAAAAAAACAAAAAAAAACTATGCAAATACTGTGTTGTGCTAGTACCAGCTTTCTAGGAAATTAATTATATTCTGACCATAATGAGGGCAAAAAAAAAAAAAAAACTAGCTAAGATCTATTAATCAGGTCACGAGAAGGAATTCCTGGAACATCTAAGACTGCAACCTGGTGATTTAAGCCTTTATACAACTGTGGCTTTGAACTGTGCTTGGATGAGCTTTGCCTTTGTCAGTGACAGGTTCTGACCTTAGGCAGGATACGCACAGTCACAAAAAAGGGCACCTGCCCCCATTCTTTCTTCTGTTCAGGTAAAGCCGGGGCTTCACTGGTGGAAGGTTAGGTGACCTGCTTTCTTCTGGCCCCTGTGACAAACCAGTCCTGTGCTTTCATCTTCATCCCACCCTCCCTGGTTCCATGTACACACATTTGCTGTGGTTTGAATATGATTTGTCTCTGACACTGGGTTGATCCCCAGTGTGATGTTAAGAGGTGAGGAACTTAATTGGACTTGGTGCTTATAGGTGGGGCCTTTGGCAAGGGATTGAGTTTAGGCAAGGTCATGAGGGTGGTGGTTTACAAGGGGACACCAGAGGAGACACACATGTACACATACACTTTGTCTCTTGCCATATGATACCCTATTCTACCTCAGGGCTCTGCCAGCAAGACCATCACCAGATGCAGCCTTGTGAACTTGAATCCAGAAGCATGAGCCAAAATAAATTCCTTTTCAACTTGACCAGTCTGTGGTAGAGTGGTGCCAGGAAGAGGACCAAGACAACATTCAAAGGAGAGTGAAGCTGAGAAATGAAGTCCTGGATGGAAAGTTCTGTTTGCTCCTCTTCTATCTGATGTTAGGTGTTGGGGGTGGAGCTGAGTGCTAAAGCTGAGCGTTCATGAGACCCTGGGTCCACCCAGCACCACAAAAATATATAAATACCCCCAAATGTGTAAGGTGTGTGTTTGAGTCCGGGGATATGCATGTCACCCAGTGAAGGATCTCTCTGCTGTCCCACAGCTCACAAAGGTCTCTAAAATATAGAAAATTGGAAGCAGAGCAGGTGGGAGTGAGGAGCACTGCTCAGTTTAAGCTTTGCTTAATCAGAGATCAACATAATAAATAATCAAATTTGCTTATTGCCTGAGTTTACACAGAGCTTTCACATCTAATGCCATTTATACAAGCAAGGAAGCCAAAATGAACTAATTTTACCCACACAGTTGGGATTCATATTGAATTGGACTTTGAATTCAAGTCCATTCATCCTCCCTTCCTCCCTCCCTCCCTCCAAACGTACTTTCCTTGATCAATAGAAGGGAATGCCTCATTGTGGAAACCTATACAGGGGTGTTCATTTCCATTTTCCATTTATTATCTCAGAGTATATTTTCATAATCCCAACACACATCTAAAAACAGTAAGTCATCATCTCAGCAAGGCCTAGATGAGAATTCATAGGTAATGAAAACAATCACAATCTTTTCCTTGTCCACTGGATCCCCACAATGCCCATTAAGTGGTCTTGGAGATATTTAAATAATTCTTTCCTTCTATGCTCTCTGGCAGGTTTTTCCATGGCTTAAGGAACTTTTTGCATGTGGTTAACCTCCAGATTCCACATTGACATCGGATAAGAGGGATGGATTTTGTCAGATCAGTTTTCATTTTGTAATTTACTTACTTTATTGGGTTTGGGATCAAAGTCAGAAACAACTACTGTTGCCAAAGACTTTATCACTACATAGGTACAGACAAAAGTTCTGCACACAAACTGGGCAAAAGGGGCTCCTACTCTGGCCTGAGACTTGGAAAACCCAAGTACCACAAACCTGTAAAAATATTTACTTAGGAACAAATGGTCACCTCAGTCACTCAGATAGCAAGCAGATCTTATAGTTTTAGGTCAT